AGAGGATGATTGGAGGATGGATGGATTGAAGGACCAATCTTGGGAGAATTAAGTTTAAACCACAATTGCTCCCCAACAGTTTGGACCAATCAGATAGTAGCATTTTTTTCATATAAATGTTGTATACCGCTAAGTTGAAGTTAGTCTTTTCTGTTTATCCTAAACAGTCAAGAACCATGTGCACATGCTAATTTTGATACGTTAATGCATAATAAATTTCACGCTGTGAAATATCTTTATATTTAGTCTTTTCTTTTCAATTTACGAGAACACGTTTTGACACCACCGTGTGATTAGTTTTGTGCCAGCACAGTTTACTGTAGTGGGAATTTATGGTAGCTGGATATACTTGATCTCACCATGTCCATGTATTCAGTGTGTGACGGGATGCCTGGAGTGCTCAGTTGTCTTGGAGCGCAGTCACAGTGGCACGGTACTAGCAAGAGAGGAAAACAGGTTGTTCAAGAACGGGTCAGAACAGGATTTGGGATGTCATGGAGCAGCTGAGAGTGATCAGATCCTGGCAGGGATACAATATACGCAAACACACACACAGCCATGCACACTGACACGTATACACACACGTATACATGAACCTAAATATGCACGCCCCAAGACACATTAAGATGAGACAGTAGTACATGATGTTTGGATGCTGCAGTCACAGTTAGCTGTTCCGGGGATCAGCTCTCTGCTGTGGACCTGGGTCGACTCTGTCATTAATTCATCCTGTGTCTCTTTAACTTAGTGAGAGTTCAGAGAGAAAAATCAGCAACATTGTCCCCCAAGCCTGCTCCTTTCTGACCCCGCCAGTCATGTGACTGTCAACCAGCTGCAGGTCCTGGCAGCGATATGTATAATCTGCAGCTTACTACTGCGCTGTAGCTGCTAGATGGTCGTGTTTCAAACCTGTGCCACTGTTTACATTGTATCTGTGATATATGTATATTTTTCCACATGGTGTGATTTATGGAACAAGATCAGGTTGAATGATCCTTCACCTGAAGCATGTTGAGGTTAGCCGTGACCGCAACAAGTGTGTGTGTGTGTGTGTGTGGGGGGGGGGGGGGGGGTCGTGGG